CTCTTGGAACATCTGGGTAGGAGGCATCTGTGAGGGAGTGGGTTACAAGCATTTCCCCTGCAGGAGTTCTTGCAGCCATTCACAAATGGCTACGCACAGATTTCCTAAGGTTTAGTTAAATTCCTTGAACACCCTGGGAATGCTCCCACCTGACCTTCCCTCTGCCTGGAATGTTTCTTCCCCAAAGATCAGAAAGGCACGTGCTCTCCTGTTCCCAGGACTTGACTCACTTACCGCCTCCTCAGGGCTGCCTTCCTAGGCCGCCTTATTGAACTTTCAACTCCTTCCGCAAACCCTACGTGTCCTATCTCACATCACCGTGGCCCTTCTACCTATCTGATATAATACTTATGATGTGTGTATCAACCTCCTCCATGGGCATGAGCTCCACAAGGGCAGAGACTGGTCTGTTTCATCACGGCTGTGTCCTCAGCACCTAGGACAGCACCCTACAAGGTGTTCAATAGGCATTCGCGCAATGAACAAATTCTACTCATGGAAATCCTGCAATCCATGCAAGGGAACTGCTCAGGGAAAGAATGACCGTGCAGTCAAAAATGCATCCCAGGGGCTTCCCTGGTGGCGCAGTGGTTGGGAGTCCGCCTGCCGATGCAGGGGACGCGGGTTCATGCCCTGGTCTGGGAAGATCCCACGTGCCGCGGAGCGGCTGGGCGTGTGAGCCATGGCCGCTGAGCCTGCGCGTCCGGAGCCTGTGCTCCGCAATGGGAGAGGCCACAACAGTGAGAGGCCCACATACCGCAAAAAAAAAAAAAAAAAAATGCATCTCACAAGAGGGGCAACGTGGAGGGAGACTGGACTCAGCTCTGAATAAAACTCACACCACCAAAGGCCAAAGAAACAAAGCCCTTTCTCCTTGAACCCTGCATCCTTTCATGGACAATTTCTGTATAGCTTGGGGATATTTTAGAGAGAAGAGAAAGCGGGATCACCGCCCAAGCTCTGACGCCAAAGAGCCTGGTCAGCCAAGATGCACTTGAAGCTGAAGGGTGGGTTCTGTGGATGTGCTCATTCCTCCTGGTATCGAGTGTTCCTGGCTCTAAAGGCTTCACGTTTTTAATTTTAAAAATGTGAGCATTTGGCTTCCCTTGCCAGGTAGTTATGAGCAAAGGTGAAATTATGTGCGTGGACGAGCTTTTCTGGAAAATCAACAAGCACACAGAATTGCGAGGCGTTAGTTAGCATCATCCGCCCGAGTCCTGAGCCACGCACTCTCCCCGCGGCAGGGGCTTGGTTGTGGGGCCCCTTGGCTTCAGTGCACCTACCGTGGCCAGGAGGGAATCCAAGAAGCTGCCGGAAAAGACAGTGCCGGTGGCAAAGGACGTGCTGAGGTGCAGGCTCATTCCCGAGAGGTCTCCTTCCATCCCGCCGAGTTGTTCAATAAAGTGCATGTTGGAAGGATTTTCTGCAAGTGAAAGAGGCAAAAAGGAAAGGCAGGCAGACAAGATGAAGGATACAGGACTTCCGGACCAGGCAGGCCAAGGAGGGACCATCGCTCAAAGGATTTGATGCCTACTTTAGGGTCAAAGTGGGACCTGCCTCAACTGCAGTATATAGTTTTTTCTTTCCAAGTATTAATATCTTCATCCCCTGAAGATGGGAAGCCCGCTTGGGGACCTTCATCATCAAGGAGATATCCTTGTACCTCAGGCTCAGTTTCTCCAAGCAAGTGTCCTGAATGTCACCCTTAATAATTTAACTTTCAAGACAGGACACTTCTGGAAGAAAAAGGGGACACTTTACATACTCGCACAGGGACAAGAGACGTAAATAGGAACATCTGCTCACCCCCGTTATTGTCTTTTTCTCCATACACTATAGATGGCGTGGTATTCACTTGGGTCCTTCGAGTTATCTGGGCCCAGAACGGGTTAATCGGTGCCTCTCAAAATTTAACATGCCTGTGAATCAACTGGGGATCTTGTTATAATCTAGATTCTGATCCACTGGGTCTAAGGTGGGGCCTGAGAGTCTGCGCGTCCAACAAGCTTGCAGATGCTCCTGCTGCTGATTCATGGACTACACTTTAAGCAGCAAGGGCTTCAAGAATCATCCTAATCAGACCTGTGCAGCAGTGGCCAAGTTATCCATTAGCAAACCTATGCTGGCCCCAGGCTGCAACTCAGACCCCCTGTAGGCAGCCTCTGTAGTCAGTGAAATCGGTCATTTCTATGAGGACAGCAGAGGCGCTGCTTGCCTTTGTTCCAAGATTACTGCTTCAAAAATGTTTGTATAGAGAATAGCATTGGAAGATAGTGATATCTCCTACCAGAGCAAAGGGAAGGCATGCTTACTGCCCATTATAAAAGATGCTGGTTCCCGAAGCTCTGGGTTCCTCTCTTACAAAGCAATTCATGGTGGGTCCAGGTATCACCTGGACCTTTTCATGTCCTCCTGTGGGAACGAGGGCTTGGGAAGCCAGCACAAAAGTGATGATTCTCTGGCTACTGCTATTGACGTGAGTAATAAACTGTTCATCGTCTCTGACCCAGTGGTCTCTCATCTTCTGTCCACATCCGTGAAACTGGGCAGATGAACCTGTTAGTTTGCAAGTAGCCTTAAGTCTTAGACCCTTCAAACTTCTTGACCGTCATATTACAGATCCAAGCAAATCTACTGGACATACAACTCAGAGTACGCTCCTAACTAAGACCGCATTAGTCTCTAATTCTTAAAATTATTCCTTAGTACATTTGGGGGAAGTGATAGACTGCTGGTATTAAGGAATCATTTTCTTCCAAGAACTACGCATCTTTATAAAAGATGAAGGAGGTATGACCAGTATCAACCCACATTTCCTACGTGCACATACATATCTCTTCTTGCACTGCCAACCCTCCACACACACACACACACATTCACGCGCGCGCACACACACACGCACACCCCAGGAGCCTTTGTCCAGATCTTGCTGTGTCATCCTAAACCAGTGGCCTCAGCAACCCCAGACATTTTCCTGCAGGCCACTGTACACTCTGGACCAAAGTGCTGGCCATCAGACCTGCAGCTCTCATGTCACTGTGGCCCTTCCTTGCTGGCCAAAGAACGGAAACTGAGTGAGCTGGCAGGTGATTTGGTAGGCTAGTTAGACAGGCGCTGCCTGGTGCCAGAAAGTCTTTCCTTGAACAAAGCTGTACGTCCCTGGAGAGTGACCAGATGCATTTCTGAGGCCGGTGAGAAGCTGGCTGGTCCCTCCTGACCACTCTAACTTACATGACAGTCTTCTGATTAACGCCCTCAGTGTATATACACCTCAGAGTCAGAGACGGCTCAGAAGGGTAGCAAAATAAAAATGGAATATAAGTAAGAACTGCAGCCATCAGCTTTAGGGTGGTTACAGATAGGCTGCCAGGTACAAGCCAGGCTCAAGGGATCTGAGATCTTCGAAGATGGATTTGGAGAGCTGCAGTTCTGGGACCCAGGGTGGCTAGACTGTTGCCCACCTGCTGCACTGCCACTCCCACATCATCTGGTGGTGTCACCTACTGGCTCCTCTCTCTGTCTGCCTGCTTCATTTCTGGGACTATGAGGTCTGCTCATCTAGTTGGGTATAAATCTCCCTCAGCTTACACATGCTGAATCATAAAAATCCCACTGAAATGTCTGCTACGCTATGGAATCGAGTCGAATCTCACGCCCAGGAGCAGCTTTTAGAGATCATCTTTGAGTTGGTCCAAACTGTGTTAAAGGTACCACCCCCTCTTCGGTAACTTCCCTTTTGCTCACCAACTATTATCAGTATTAAATCCCAGTGTCTACCCTGGTGAATCACAAACAATGCACACAGGCACCTGCCTTCCCTGCCCTTCTTGCTGCCCCCAGGGCTCCTCACGTCTAGGAAAGTTTCATATACGTGCGTTTTCCATAAGGTGTTGATGAGAGATAACAGCTCATCCTGTTATTTCTGCATGGAGTATTTCCATTTTAGAAGAGCACCGCTCAGGGCTTGGATTAAGAAGACACAAGGGACACAAAATTTAAAGACCCCAAGAGTGAGCCTTTCCTTAAAGTCTACACCCTGGGGGCCTCACCTGCCTCACCCTAGTGCCTGCTCTGGTAGCACCGCAGGAGAGGAAGACGTCTGACGGGTAGAGAAGTTGGTTTAGGGAGAGCCTTTCTTGCAGTTTTCAAATCCACATCCCCTCCCCTGGAAGAAGGGAGAAGGCGGGAGCTACTCCTGCACCCTGACACCCAGATATGACAGGCTCTGCTGGAGGATGTCAACGTCACCAAACAGGTAAAAGCCCAATGTAACAGCCAGTCAAACACATAATGGTCTCTGGGCCCCATTCTGGTCCTCAGTCCTTTGACTGTGGATCCTAAAGACACCCTTGGGACATCAAATACAGATACAAAGACTCCTCCCTTGAATTCTGTCCTGGAAACACAACTTACTCAGTTCAGTGAGGATGGGGATCCTTCGGTACTTTGACTTCCCGGGATTGTCACTGAAGCACCGAGTACACCCTGTAGACACAGACAGCAACAAGGGAGGGATGAGATGGACAGATGCAAACGAAGTGGCTGCGACACAGACAAGGACGCAGAAGCACACCATGGCGCTTGAGGCTTTATCTTAGCAAAGTGACTCTCACGCCCAAATCCCAAATCTTTCTCTATATTTAGAAAAAAAATGGCCTCAGCCTCTCCTTTCCAGAAGTTTGGGGGGTGTGTGGTGTGTGTGTGGTGTGTGTGTGTGTGGTGTGTGTGTGTGTGTGTGTGCGGTGTGTGTGTGTGCGGTGTGTGTGTAGGATGTTTTCTAAATGGCACCTCAAGTGAATTACAAAAAGGGTGACGTTCTCCCTGTAGTTGCTTATCGGCAGCCTAAGTTACATCCAATCGTCTACCGACTGGGAGTGCCGGGTGACGGCTCAGTCAGGCAGTGCCTCAAACTACATGCACTTGCTTGTAGAACCTCCAGGAAACTGAATAAACAGGAGGTGCTGCCCCAGGAGAGCCTGTGGAGGCACAGCGACTGGATTACTGGCTCCCGGTGCTTCTGCCTCTTGGAGATCCTCTCTGGGCTGAGGGTTTCTTTCTTCTTCAGCAAGATTGTCTCTGCCTCCCAACTCTGGCTGGCCTCCCCAACCCCTAATGTCTTGGAAGTTCCTTAAAGACTAGGGTGGGAGGTCATGGGGCCTGTCTTCACATTCAGCTCCTGCCTTAGGAGGTGAGGCCCTTCATCTCCCTCTGTGAGCCTCGAATCCCAAAGAGATTCCATGCCCGGCTCTGGTCTGGAACACAGCCCTAGCATGCGCGGACAGGTGAGGAAACCTGTCCCAAACCTGTTTTGAACCTGTTCAAAAACAAGGATGACCCCAGAGTTTTGGTCTCCAAGTTAAACACCCCCAGAAAAGGTAAAGAAAGAAAAGGGAAAAGAGAAAGAGGAAACTAGGATCCTGATGAAAAAAAAAACAACCAAACCAAACCAAACACATGATGATCTCATCAAAAGTTGTGCTTTAAAACTACTGGTTACCTTTCTTGAACTTTTCTGAGAATTCTATGTATGTAACAGAGAAATAATACTGTGAAAGTTAACATTCTGCTTGTCATTCAGATTCTCTGCTGCCTTCAAGAAGGTGAAATATGTGGAGGGTCTTTTGTTTCCCAAGCCAGGTTAAGTGGTAGGGGAGGGTGGGTGAGATGAGCGAGTGGGTCAGACAGACAGCCTGAGAGACAGACAAAGGGACGGGGGTGGGGAAACTGGCCACTGAGATGGGGACGGGGAAAGAGGAGATCCAAAGGGAGGTTTTGTTCCCAGAGAGAATTCTATGCTCTACAATGTAGTAAGTTCCCTACATACAGGCAAGTTTCATTACGAGAGCATGTTCATAAGTCCAATTTGTTCGTTAAGTCCAACAAAGTTAGCCTAGGTACGCAGCTAACGCAATCAGCTATATAGTACCGTACTGTAGTAGGTTTATAATACTTTTCACACAGATAATACATAAAAAAACACAGAAAATAAAGAAATCCTTTTTTATCTTCCAGTACAGTACCTTGAAAGTACAGTAGTACAGTACAACAGCTGGCACACAGGGGCTGGCATCGAGTGAACAGGCAAGAAGAGCGACTGACAGGAGGAGGGAGAGGAGGTGGGAGATGGTAGAGCTGAAGGATCGTCAGCAATAGGAGACGGAGGGCGAGCTGCCATTTCCCTCACGCCTGACGCGGATGGCACGGGATCTGGCTCCTTGCTGGAACCAGATGCACGTTCGCATCTTTGGACGTTTTCAACTTGAAGGTGCGTATGTAGGCGCCTTCCTGTATTTATCACCTCTCCCATCTCCCCAAGAAACATTCCATGAAAGTGCCACTTCTTGTTCACGCAGAGTAGAGCTGAATACGTTTCTGATTGCCACTAAAATTCTGAGTCATGCTTCCAGGTAGCTTCACGGTAAACACGGAAGCGCCACAGGAGGAGCCCAACACGTGTAGTTTACAGTTAGAACTAGAAGTGGCCTTAGGACTTTAGCAAAACCCTTTAGCTTCAGGTGAGGAAACAGAGGCCCCGGGGGCTAACCTCCTCCACGCATATGTTGAAGAGGAGGGTTTGCGTGGTGGCTAGAGACCACATCTCCAAACTCACCGGGAAATCTTACTGATGATGGGATCTGAATACCTTCAACTGTTTTTCCTGAACAAACTTCTGGGATTTTCATAACGCAGGAGACTTGGGGGAAACGAGATTCTACTTTATTCTCAGAAACGTGCAAGATGCTTTATCTGCTTTAGGTACCTTTCCTTCCTTCCTTCTTTCCATTCTCGTTTCCTTCCTCGCTATCCTCCCTCTACAAATCTTTAAAGCGTATCGACTCCAGACTAGGACTATGAACAGTCCCTGCCCTGGTGACATACCATATGTTGCAAATACAAAATGTTTTCAGAGAGTGATGAGTACTGTGAAAAAACCCAACTTTTAGGGGCTAGTGAGTGACCTGGGGAGGTGACCTTAGATAGAGTTTGAAGAGGCTTCTCTGACATTGGAATGTCATCCTGAGTGATGAGCAAAAGCCATCCAGACAGAGGGAATGGGATAAGGAACTTAAGGCAGGAAAGAGCCAGTATAAACAGACCGAAGGAGGAAGTTCAGGCTCCCTACTGGCCTGCAAGACCCTACATGACTTTCCTGCAATTGTCATGAGTCACCATTACAGGGTCTAAAGGAGGAAACTGCCATTATCCAATAAATATTTGTAAAAGATCCCTCGGGCTGCTGCGAGCTGGGAGGTAAGAATGACACCACCGTGCCCTCAAACCTGTGAATTAAGTCGTGTTAGATCACCTTTGAAGATGACGAAACTGCCTCAGGGTCTACATGCTTTGCCCAAGGCTACATGGTTTGTAAAGGATGGATGGGTTTTCACACCCAAATTGGCACCAAGTTCAAAGCCCATGCCCATTCCCTTTATATATATTAAAATACATAAGGTTTGGTTGACAATTTCAATAAAATATTGAGATCAGTTTCCCTCAAAGGGGAAAATTCTCCTTTGAGCTGCACTTTCTGATTTCAGTTCCCTCTAATAACGGGCTTGGAATATCCTGACTTCCAGAGTCAAATGTTCTTATTGGATAGCGACAGGTTCACATCAGCTGATGTAAGTGCATAAATATCTGCTCTGACACTGGCTGGAGGACAGCGACAGAATTTCCGCCTTAACTCCATCTTTTCTGGTAGAGCAACGGTTAATTTGAATATGTGTCAGATCATAGCCTGGGTACATTTTACTAATGTCAATATTTTTGCTACCTAGTAGTACACAGTATTATACCTGAAATTCTTCCAGGCTGGCAGGGTGCTATATTATTAAGCAAAAGATTGCTTAATTGTAGATTACTACTGTACATTTAAATTTCAAGAGCATATTAAGTTGTCAGACTTAATTACTGTTATATGTTTAGATTATGCCACAGATTATTTAGTTCAGTACCTAGGTTTGCCAACCTGTCCTTGTGACGTGACAGGGCAGTAATTAGAGCATCAGTGAGAAACCTAAAGTTTTCCGTGGGGATGTCCAGGAGGCCTGGTCCTTTGGAGAGTCCTCCTTCTTGCTGTCCCCCCACCTCCAACATCCCTGGGTGAACCACTGTATGGAACAGCCTTGGTGGTCCTAGATGGATTCTACGTGTAACCTTGTCATGACCGTGAAGATGTGGGAGAGCCTGCTGAGTCCACACAAGGCTCAGCAGATATGTCAGAGTGACAGCTCTCAATTTTGGTCCTATTGACATATGGCACCTGTGCACTGTAGGATATTAGCAGCATCTCTGACTTCTACCCACTAGATGCCAATAGCATCCCGCCAAGTTGTGACAACCAAGGCTGTCTCCGGACATTGTCAGACAACCTCTGGGGTCAAAACCGCCCCTGGCTGAGAACCACTGTCTCTGAAGAAGGGACAGAAAATTGCTCAGCGTGGAAGATGTTTTCTCCCTCCTGGCAGAATTTCACAATCCTTTATACTGATAATTCTTGGAGGGGGGCATTCCCATTGCCACCTGCTTGGTATGCTGCAAGAGGAGTATTAGTATGAGATAGGAAGAATGGTTAAGAGAACCAAACAGGCTTCCCTGAGGGTTGGGAATTTCCACATGCAAACTCCAGGTAGATTCCTGTGATGCCAGAGTAATGGGTGAGGTTTCTGAGTGACAGTCCTTGGCTATTCCTATGTGCTCAGAATGTAACTTTACTGCTGCTTCCTGTGTTAGGTAGCACAGGAGAGCCTGTCTGGACCTCTATTTCCTGTCACACAAATGGGTACGATGACATCCACACAAGGAAAGGTGCCAGGTCTACACAATATGTTCTTCCCTAAACTTTCCCTTTTGCCGTTGGGGAGAGCACCTACTCACACTGCATGATGACTCAAATACTGTGACATTCTTTCATTTTCTCTTCCTTCTTCCCAACCCTTTTCCCCTCTCTCCTGTATTTCCTCCTACCAGTCCTGTCAGTTTAGTAGAGTATGTGACACATACAAAATCAGTGTATTCTTGTTGAATGAATAAATGAATAAGTGAAAGGATGGGAATCACCAGATATAAAAGAAACCAGAATTAAAATCATAGGTTTAGGGCTTCCCTGGTGGTGCAGTGGTTGAGAGTCCACCTGCCAATGCAGGGGACACGGGTTCGTGCCCCCGTCCGGGAAGATTCCATATGCCGCATAGCGGCTTGGCCCGTGAGCCATGGCCGCTGAGCCTGTGCGTCCGGAGCCTGTGCTCTGCAATGGGAGAGGCCACAACAGTGAGAGGCCCGTGGACCGCAAAAAAAAAAAATCATAGGTTTATATCTTTTTAGCCTATATAGGATGTGAGATTTTAAAAAATGATAATAGGAAGGACAAGTCACCCAATGATTAGCTAGGTGGCTTACGGTGTTGTCAGCTTACCCTCTGCTTTTACCCAGCGGGCATTTTTCATTTCTACATTGATGATACTGCCTACACAGTGAATACTTTTCAGTTGCAAGCATGATGCAAACACACACACACACACACACACACACACACTCAACCCACACACAAATCTTGTGTAAATCTGAGTGACCCTAATTGCTAAGGACTGACATGCAGAACACAGAGGCGTTTTTATACATCTTCAGATTAGCTCAGCAGAATATGGCTCACACTTCCTCAGTCGGGATTTTCAATGCCCTTTGATATTCAGGAAGTGCTTTGCTATTATTATTATTTATTTATTTGCAAAACCCCCTGAAATCCTGGGTGCTGAGCGGTGTTTGGTTGTTTAGTGAGGGTCTGTGAAGTAGCTGGCTCACCCACCAAAGTTCACCCACCGAAGACTGGACTAGAATTTTTGTAGTCTAGTCCACAAATAGTGTGGTAGAATGTGTGCTTCAACCTCTCAATCACAAAACTAAGAATAGTAACTTGAACACCTATAGGACCCAATGAGAGCCGATTAACAATAATAACACCTGTTGTTAATGATAATAAAATACCAATGGCTATGCTCACTGATATCTGATTCATAACAATAACAGCACTTACAACTCCATGATCTTCTTTAAGATGGGAGAAAAACAGTGTTATGTGCATTCCATTTAGAAGATGGACATCATTTTTCATTTGACTAGGATTCCCAAGGACTCAACTGTCCACTAATTCTAGTACAGAATTCTCAGAGCTGGATGGGATTTTATAGGTCATTTGGCCCAACCTCTCCTCCTCTCCATCATTAAAGTTTTTCAGAGAGGAGTTAATTCTTCCTGATCCCATTCTCTCTAGCCTCTTCCCGTCAGGGTATTGTTCTTACGTGGCTCTGAGGGTGTCTGGGCTGAGCAGCTAATCCGAAGTGATCTGATGTTGAGTGTGGCCATGATAGGCTCCGTGTCCACCAAGGTCGGGCTGCTGCATGACTTAGATGGGGAGGATAAGACAGCACACATGGAACACTCCTCTATGTTGACTGCATGGAGGTCCCCAGAATAGAGCGCAGATCCCTATTGAGAGAAAACCGGGTACATGGTGGTGGCTTTTTGTGGATGATGCAAGTTTTTGAGCCAAAGCCTCCGCTGACTTGGTTTTAAGACTTAGTTACCTGATATCTGACACGTTTATCCTTATCGTTCATGAATATCTGAGCGTGACTAAATTTTGCAGATCCCTTCTGAGAGCAAGTCTGGATGGGACGAAGTGGAGTGGAGAGAGCGGAGCCTAAACCCACTGAGGTGACTCAAGTGGAAGAAAAGAATCAGAGTAAGGGTAGCAGTGGTGAGGGAAAAACAGCACAGAAGGTCCAGATCTAAAAGCCAGTTCTGGGGCCTCCCTGGTGGCGCAGTGGTTGAGAGTCCGCCTGCCGATGCAGGGGACACGGGTTCGTGCCCCAGTCTGGGAAGATCCCACATGCCGCGGAGCGGCTGGGCCCGTGAGCCATGGCCGCTGAGCCTGCGCATCCGGAGCCTGTGCTCCGCAAGGGGAGAGGCCACAACAGTGAGAGGCCCGCGTACCGCAAAAAAAAGAAAGAAAGAAATAAAAGCCAATTCTGCGTCCTCGCAGTTTTGCTTGCAGG